CCTCAACCAAAAAAAAATTAGCAATAATTTCAACAATGCTAAATACTATGCGACTTTCAACATGCATCAGTGTTGCAAAAATAATCTAGTTAATTAAAATTACACTTTTGCGGTTTACCCTCAGTTTATATAAACATGCATGTTTGTGTGTATGCGTATATGTATAAAAGTTATGTATAGAATACATTTTTTTTAATATTGAACAGCACCAGGATTCATCTTTATATATATATATATATATATATATATATATATATATATATATATATATATTCATGAATTATTCATACAAAAAAAACAAAAACAAAGGTTAATGATTTAATTGGCGAGAAATCCATCGTCGCGAACAATTCAAATAATATACAAAACCCCGAACCTGTTTATGAATGAAAAGATCCTTGTTTCTATAAATTTCTGTTGCATGAGTTATTATTTTTACAAACTTTCGTCTGTTCCTACAGACATCCTCAGGTATGGAATAGATTTTGTTCTTGTTTTTACTCTCAGTAATAAGAGGACAACGAAAATATATGTATTGTTGTAATCCGAAAAATGCTATTAGAAACTCATAACTCATTTCGATGGATTTCTCGCCAATTAAATCATTAACCTTTGTATTTGTTTTTTGTATGAATAATTCATTAATTTGTAAATTAATTGCACCTTTATTGAAAAATATATGTGTGTGTGTGTGTGAACTTCGTTTTGTCATAGAAGAAGAATAAAATAAAATGTTTTGTTTTGTTTTTCCTTCCGCTTGTGCTGTTAAGCATCGCGAAGAGACAGTCGTCTGTCAGTGGCAAAGCGAGTAGCCTGGAGGTGGATACCTCGTGGGCTCTGAGAGTGTGCGCCACTATGTCGCTCTCCAGCCAGAGTACCTGAGGGCGTAGACTCGTCGGGCTGGTTGGTTGATAGGCATACGAGTGAGGTGTCCGAATCACTTGATCCTCTGTCGTTCCATGTGTTGTATGATTAGTATTGCTTCTACCATATCTCTTATGGCCTCAAGGGTTTTTGTTAGTGGCCAAGTCTGTCACTGGTATGTCAACGTTGTTAGAAAAATGGCTTTGATGAGATTTGCCTTGGTACTCATAGGAATGCTAGTAAACAGGTAATGCTGGCCAACGAGAGGCACTGGTGAAGCTATGACTGGCTTAGCAGGCCGACAGTTGATAAAATTTGCTCAAGGAAACAAAAAGCATAAAATGTGTGGCATCTATATATAAAATTCTGTGAAAATCGCCATACATTGACCAATCGAATCCAATTTTTTAAAATATTTTGTTTGTCATGGATTGCTATAAAACTAAATTAAATTAAGAAATTATTAAAGTGAAAAGTAAGTTTTTTTTTTTCAAATTATTTATCCAAACAAATCAGCTTATTCAAATTTTATTAATTGGTTTACGAAATTGAACGATGCGTAGAATTTGTTAATCTTGAAAAACAAAAAACGTTACCGTCGACTTCAATACTAAAGTAAGACGATAAACTACGTCCAACAGCAAGGTCTCTGATAAGATTTTGAGGAGCGTGCTACCACCTCTTAATTGTTTGCATTCCCAGGGTGGTAGCATTTGTTAGGATCCCAGGCATAGGCAAACAGTTTCCCAGACTGGGAGCAAAACACTATGAAAGTGTAAAAATAGGTTTTAATACCAGAAATACTTTGTAAGAAAAATATTATTACCAGCAATACATTCTTGAAAAAAAAATATTACCAGCAATACATATTTACAAACAAAAGTATTACCAGCAATATATATTTGGATACAAAAATATTACCAGCAATACATTTTTGAAGAAAAATATTACCAAAAATAGATTTTTGAAAGAAAAAGAATATTACCAGCAATACATTTATGAAAACAAAAGAAAAAACATTACCAGCATTAAATAACCTATTGAGGTTCATATGCCGTAAAACAAACCAATAATATGCCGTAAAACACACCAAATCAAACAATACTAAATACTGTGAAGATATCAACAGGCGTCACTGTGTTGCAAAAATAATTCTAATCACTTAAATTTACACCTCATAGAAATGTACCCTCAGCTTTTATAAATATATATATATATGTGTGTGTGTGTGTGTGTGTGTGTGTCTGTGTCTGTGTGTGTAAAAGTTATCTATGTGATTCTGTTTTTGAGTGTTTTTAATCTTGAACAGCACCAGGACTCGTCTTTGGCAAAAAGTGTGAAATTTGTTCTGTCATTGACTCGTTCTTCCTTTCCTGGCCTCCCTTTGTACACAATGTTGCGACTGTTATACATCATGACGGTCGTCTTCGAGTATAGAATCCAGAGGTTAGCAGTGAATATTTCGAAGACAGTAGGAAAGCGTAGTTCAGGTTAGCAGTGGATATCGCAGCAAAGTAGCAGAGCGTAGTACTTCCTTCTGTTCATCTTTGCCTGACAAGTTGGCACTGGACATTCGGATAGAGTAGACAAAATGGCCGCTTTTATACACGACGGATTGAATGTTCTACGTCTTCTGATTGGTTAACCTTCTATTGGTGGACTATAAAGTGAGTCAAGTCATTTGTGCTAACTCACTAGTTACACAATATATACAAGAAACTGTAACAGCGACTTCCTCTGTTTCTGTCAGAAACAGTAATAATAACATATTTGTTCTTTTTATGCAGATATAACAAATCTGAAGGGATTTAAAATTGTCCTGAAACCGACTGGCAAGCCTGATATTTGTCGTATATTGGACTACACTGATGCAATCACCAATTCCAGTTCTGGCCTGGTACGTGCTATTATAGTCGTGATTTTCTTTTCGTTTTTTGTTTATGCAATCTTTTTTTCTTATTCATTATTACAGGTTTCTACGCATCCAGAAAGAATTGTTTAGCCCTTTAGTGACGTACGGTGGTCGTTAATAATTAAGTATAACTCAAGACTTTAATGATAAAATAAAAGAATATTTAACAAAAGAACAAAAACAAAGAAGTAAAAGTCAACCAAAGATAATTAACCATTTCAGTGAATACCTTGTTAGTAGCGCGGTTCGACTTAACGTCTAGTAAATCCTAAATCAAAACCGAAATCATCGACGCACAATAATTCACACTAATTCGACTGGATAGTTTCACTCAATCACTCTAGTCAGTAGCCTGACACCGCTATTTATACACCTGGCGAAAAACATATATTCATAAGTCTAGAGTGTCGCACTCAAGCCTCGGTATCAGTAGTTACTCATTTTCTTCCTATATGACAAACCCCAAATATATTTGATTTTGATTTTAAAATATTACAAAGGCGTTCCATAAAGTACCCCACAAAGATCTATTGGAACTGCTCAGCAGCGAATGTTGAACAGTCTCCTCAAAGATGAAGAAGATGCTGAGAATATCATGGACCGAGCGTGTGAGCAACGATGAGGTCTTGGAGAAGGTGCAAATAAGGAGGAGTCTTATACTTAACATCAGGAAGAGGTAGTTGAAGTTTCTGGAACGCATAATGAGAAAGGAGGGCCTGGAAAATCTGATACTCACAGGTCGAATAGAGATATGTGGTAATTTTATAAACAGCGGCTGCTGCTGCTAAAGCAACACTCTTCTACTCAAATTGAGCTCTCTTAGATACTGACGTCTTTCGCATAGTAAAAAAGTTAAAATTTCACTTCCGCTCTGCCGTACGACGATAGCTTGGGAGTAGAATCTCTGACTGAAGCCAAATCAGCCGGCTCTCGATCCCGGCTTGAAGCAATCGGATGTCTAGCCACACTGATGAGCTGTGATAGCCGAGTTCGAATTCCAGTCGAATCCATTATATTCACTTACGTGCTAATACCCTTGGGAAAGATATGAATCCTGTACTTCTCTCTCCAACTAAGGGTAAATAGCAGGACAGACCGGGTTCTATAGCCTTGGATGGCAACTGGTCTAGGAGAAGGACAACTCTGAATTCAAAACCTGCGGAGGGTCATTTGGGGACCTTGTGGCACGTAGTGCACCAGGTCTTTGTATTCGGCCCTTCAAAAAGTGTGGATGGTCCTCCACGAAACCTTCACCACTATAATCAATTCTCAAGTGCTGTTGTCGAGCTGTCGGTTTCCTGGGAACTGATCTGCTTGACCTTCAACGTCGAATTCGATGAAAGAGGAGTGAGTAAGTATCTTAGGCACATGTCCACTACAAAATTCAACGTAAAAAAAGGGGAAAACCGTTTTTAAATGTCTCATCAGGTGGGGAATCACGGTGTTACTCATCGTAATTTCCCACCTGATGAGACGTTTAAAAAATGCCCCCCCCCTTTTTTTGGACGTTGAAACAAAAATGTACAATTTTGTAGTGGATATGTAACACAGCATAAGATAACTAAATATTTACAGTTCTACTTTTTGTATTGAGTACTATTTTAAAATTAACGTTTTGAACGCTGTAATCCTACTGTTCGTTCTCCTACACTTTGAGAAATACAATTATTTATTCGAAAATTATAACATAAATATGTTATAAAATCACTACAAAAATACTCATTTTGTTTCAACACTTCTGGTGTCTTATCAAGTGATGATGTTGAATATAGAATAAAGGGTTTTAAAAGGTTCAAATCAATCAAACACCCCTCGCTAGGGGGAAACGCTGTTACGTAAGCTGGAATGACCAATCAAAATACAAGTATACGAGAATTCAAAAAACACGACAACGAACTATGGTTATAATAATTAGTTAATGCTTTAATGTTGAGGTTAGACTAAAATAGAATTTATTCTAACTAATAAATATTAAATTATACGATAAAACTTGAAATTAAAAATTACTCATTTTAAAAATTTAAATTTAATCTATATTAAGTTTAAAATTATAAAATTACTAAGGAAAAAATAAAAATACATATTTTATTCTATTTATTTCGTTTCTATTGAAATTAAGTTGGAATAAACGTTAAGATCAAATGTTTCTCTGAACTTCATGATAACATAGATACATTTGAATCATAAACAGAGGTAGGGAAGGATGACATCTTGCAAAAGAAAATACATACACAATCAGATTATAATACATAAACACGCAGATGTATTTAGATATATACACACAAAAAAAAACGATGAGACAGGAAATATCTCCCCGAACCTTTAACAAAAAAAGACATACATACACAATGAAAGGTACACACAAGTGACCATACACACAGACACCGATAAAAACACGTACATACACACACACACATTGCCAAAGACACTCCGATACATCAACCAAGAAATATTCAAGTTTGAAAGTGTTATTGAACGAATTCTAACCACTTATTAAAATTTAACTTATACGGGCAAATATACATAGATAAAAATGGATTGTGTCAGTAAATCAATTACCGACAAACTACGGATAAGTGATCGGTTCAATAAACGGCAAACTAAGGAAGCTTATGTTTTGTTAAAAGACCATAAACCCGATTTCAGATCTAAGCCATCAACTAGGCTTATTAATGCTACATGACCGGAAATCGGTAGAATCAACAAAACCATCTTGGAAAGAACCAACCACTCCATAAAAAAAAACACCTTCAGACTCTTACAGTGGATTAACACAGCTGATGTTACCAACTGATTTACTAACATCCAAAATAAGGACAACTGCACCTTCATACAGTTCGACATTATTGACTAATATCCCTCTATATCGAAGGATCTGTTCACTTTGGCCTTGGAGTTCGCTCGGGTATACTCTGATTTCTGAGAGTGAAGTGGATATAATCATGAAATGCCGAAATTCTGTTGTGGTCTACAATGAAGAACAGTGGACCAAAAAGTCTTTCAGTGATAATTTTGACATTTCAATGGGTTCTTTGGATTCTGCAGCAGCCTCTGACTTGGTTGGATTATTTCTTTTATACAATTTAAGTGCCTTTTGAATGTCTAGATTCTGATAGTGTAGGATTATATAGAGACAATGGCTTATTGTTAAAAACTCTACTAAAATTAAGGTAGACCGTATTAGGAAAATGATTCATAGGGAATTTAAGGATTTAGGTCTTAGGACTATAGTTACAGCTAACATTAAACGAGTAGATTTTATGAACGTCACCTTAGACCTTACTAGCAACACTTTCCAACCTTGTGTGAAGGTTAATTCCAACCCAGTATATGTGCATCCCAATCCCAACCACACCCCCTTCGGTTATCAAACACATACCCTCCTCCATTGGATTTAGGATTAGTACTAAATCTTCTAACAAAGAGGTTTTTAATAAACATCGTGATTTTTACAATTCTGCCCTTAAAAATAGTGGATACAAGGGTACCACTATTCAATAAAGAAACCCTGTTAATTATAAGCATAATAAAAGAAAATCTAGAAAGATTATTTGGTTTACCCCCCCCCCCTTTCAATATAATGGTTAAAACTAAATTAGTACGTATATTTCTAAACCCCAGGAAACATTTCCCCGACCCCAACACTAACACACTTAGTAAAATATTTAATCCAAATACCCTTAAATTAAGCTATAGTTGTGCGGATAACCTAGAGAACATAAGAAACATAACAACAGAGTCTTTAACAAGTATAGGTACTCAAAAAAAACTTGACTACTCACCAGGTTTCAAGCAGTATTACTAAGTATAATGACACTAATAAAAACATGTGCAATTGTAGGAATCCAAATAATTGTCCACTACAGAATAATTGTTTGACTAATTCTGTAGTTTATCTTAGTACAATCTCTACACTAGAAAACCCAAATATCAAAAAAATTTTGCATTGATAGCCCCATGAATTTATTCAAGGAACGTTGGTTGGGGCATATGCAATCTTTTAATAGCAGCAACTAAAAGTACAAGACTTCATTATCCAAGTATTTTGGGGCTCTAAAAGAATAAAACACCTACTGTTAAATGGAAATTATTCAAGAGTGCCGGAACATGTAACTCCCTATATGCCCGTTGTTATCTATGTCTTAACAAAAAATTTGAAATGATTATATTTAAAAATAAGACCTATCTCTTAAAGATATGAACTAACCGTTAAGTGTAAACACCGCTATAAATTTAACTTACTATAGGGGTTGTAATACTTTCAACATTAATGGTTATTACTTTTATTACCTGATGACCCTCCTGTTAATGTGGGGGGTATACGTGTACTGTGTTGCTCGTGTCTGCATATGTGTGTCTGTGTGTGTGTGTTTTTACTGATGATGGACGTGTATATATATATATATATATATATATATATATATATATATATATATATATATACGTAGGTTTTTTTTTTATAAAAAGAAAGAAGGTGAAAATTGAAAAAAAGGAGAAAAAGAGAAGAAGGAAGGGAAAAAAGGGGAAAAGAAAGAAAGGAGAAAAAATATATATATATGTGTGTCCGGGTGTGTGCGTATTTATATATTTCTATTTGCGTGTACTTATGTATGTGGGGGTATATATGTAAGTATATATGTTTGTATATGTGTGTGCATATATATGTGTATCTATGTATATATATATAATGTGTGTATATATATATATATATATATATATATAAAATATTGAATCAATTAGCAATATTAATGCAATTAATGGCTAATTCTCTTCGCTAACAGACTTAATATAAGCATTAACCTACGACCAATCCATTGAATGATGCGATCCTTACGTACAAAATTGTTGTCAGATGGATCTGCTGTATTTTTAGAGCAGCTAGTACTTTCAAAAACTTCATGTTTTCATCGTCAGGCTGTAATGTGTTTTTATTAACGGTTATAAAATATATATAATATTGGAACGTGCAAGTTGCAATGCTAAAG